TATTCAATTCTGCAAATAAAAATTTTTATATATTTAGACAGAAGCGATCAATAGAAGGGCAAAGAGGAGAGACAAACACTGATAGAAAGTATCATACGCATTTATATTTTATAATACAGCAACATATTTTTCATTTTTCTATATAATTTTCTCCATTTGATTTCAGAATTCTGCTAAAAACTTAAAGAACATCCAAAATTAAAGGGCAAAAACAAAAATAGAAATGCCATTCCTTTGCAGTCTAGAGTGGTAACTTAAAAAAAACTATTCTTAGAGCATTTTGACCTCACAGTTTTCCATACAATGGGTTAGTCCACTCCATTACAAATTAAAAAAAAAAAAAAAACTTCAAAAATTCAGGTACAATGAATAGAATGTTTTTCTCTGAATTTTCATCCATTTCCCCCTGATATCATTTACTTTAACTATTTGAATTCCTGCCTTACAGTGATAACTACTGTGTAAACCGTTATTTACCAAGAAATTTTTTCTTGAGTGTCTACACATGAATCTGAAATCACAAATTGCCTCTAATCACTTTCTTACAGATCTGATCTGAATTCCCTTATTGACTGACTTTGCACCCTTATTTTCCCTGTCCTCAGCTCCACTGAGATTGAATTCCTATTTTATAAAAGCAACCCTAGTATAGACATTTTTTTAACTAACAATACTTACTAAGATTCTCTTTAAAATTCCATTCTACTGAATTCAACCACAGGAGATACCATATTTACTCTAATGATGTACAGAGAAACAGAGGAAAGTTATTAATATATCATTGTTTTGACTATATAGTGTTGTTACAATTATCATCAAGAAGAATAGAATGCAATATGCCTTACTTATTAATTCATCAAAAAAGATTTTCATAGCATTATTTACATGCTTTGGCATATACTTGGGCAAAAATCTATGCCTTACATATAGGAAAATGTATGTTTTATTTATGGAAAACTTACAATATTAGAGAGCCATTTGAAATATTTGCAAATTTAGATCCATTTCTCAGATTTCAACAAAATATCAAGTTCTTTGGGGGTCTATCCAGTCATTTCAATTACTATTAGTTATTTAGTATCACGAAGGAAATTTATTCACTTAAAAAACTATCTTCTAAGATTTTAAATGACTATTCTTTGCATTTTAATATTGACCATCTTGGCCTATAAACAATTCTATTCTTGAAGGGGAAATTCCTCATTTCACTTTAAAAAAATAATTACTGAGTATTTATAATTTTTCAAGCATAATGTGAAATCCCAGGAATATAAAGACATTAAAAAATTGTTCTGTGCTCATAGGAGCTTCAGTTCTAATCAGAAAGATGGATGCACACAGATAACTACTGAGCCCAAGGAAAGGGCTAAATTAAGGAGGTGATCAAACGTTATGCTAGGCTCATCACAAAACTGACATACTGGTAAGGAATAAGTGTTTGTGTATATGCCCAGGAATAAAAATTTCTGAAAACTAGATATTTTAAAACTGAGATTTCTGTCAAAGTTGGAATACTCTGATTTACCAAATCACCAATGGAACTGTGAGTTAAATGACACCCTTACATATTTTATCAGTTTTATAAACAATTAAATTAGTATAATAGAACTAATGCTACATCAATATGGAATATTACCATTTGTTTTTAAATTTTTGGTGATTGAGAAGTTCTTTAGGATTATTTAATTACCCAAAGTCATGATTATATAGTAGATACTCTTTTCACAATTCTTCCTTCTCTGAGGTCAAACCCTAGTGAAACATGTTTGAACTAACTAGACCTTAACAATTTACCAAAGCTTAAATGACCTAAGATTAGATCTATGATGCATATCAGTCTATCTGTCCTGGACATTTGAAAAAATAAAATTTAGAGCCCAAAACAAAGTTCCATTGCACTAAGGCTCTAAGTAAATTCAGTGGTTCTTCGCTTAGTGAGATTTCCATGGCTGTGACAAAATACCTGAGATAAACAACTTAAAGGAGAAAGGATTTATTTTGGCTCATAGTTTCAGAGGTTACAGTCCATGGTCACTTGGCCTCCTCACTTTGAGACAATGGTAAGGCAGAAACATCATGGCTGAGAGTGCATGGTAGAACAAAGGAGCTCACAGCACAGTGACCAGGAAGTAAATAAGAGAGAGGAGGGGCCAAAGTCCCAATATTCCCAAAGACAACTATCCTTCTATTAGGCCCCACCTCATATACTTTCCACAAGCTCCCAATAGCACCATCAGCTGGGGTCCAAGCCTTTAACACATATGAGCCTTTGGGGGGCATGTAAGATCCAACCCATAACAGCTCTGCTTTTCATTTCTGAAAAAAAAAAAGTCCAAGCTTTCTTGCAGATTTTCTGGATCAATATTCAGCTCTGAGACAGAATTTTCTGTAGTTATTTCAACAGAGAGACTATTATATACAGAACTATTAAGTACGCATTGAAGAACTGAAAAAGACAAGAAGAGAACACAAAGGCATCACTGAGGTGGCAAGTAAGGAAAAGTAGGTCTTATGAAACTGTGAAGGGAAGGGAAGAAGTCAAAGGGTTAAAACTTGGAGAACAGTTCTGTGTATTCTCAGATTCCTGAGATGGCAGTGCTGGAGACCAGTGCACTAAGTCAGCTGTGGATGAGGACTTTTCGTGGTGGACAGGCTGGGTTTAGGTGGCCCAACTTTCAGAGTGGAGAAAGAAAGGAGCCCAGGATATGTTGGGAGTCAGAAACTAATAAACATGGAAAAAGCAATGCAGTTTGAAAAAAAAATCTGAATTTTTTAAAGTGATTTCTGAAGTAACTCTGTTGGCAAAAGAAAACTCTTCAGAGACTAACAGAAAGAGTTTGTGTCAGCATCAAAAACAGATATTAATTTAATAGCTGAGACAGGAATTATGTTCCCTGAGGACAACAAAGTCTCTAAGATCATAGTGGAATTTTTCACTGCCCAATACAGAAATGACATTGCCTGCTCCCCCAGAGCCCCACAATTTGGAAAACAGTTCTCTGTGAAGCTCTTTGAGTTGATATCTTCAGATGCCGGAAAGTAAAATGGAAACATTACTGGGGATTTAGTGTAGAAGACTGTGGGAATGCTCTGGAGGCCAACAGAACTGGCTAGAGAATCCTAGCTCAATCACTTAGTAGATACTGAGTTACCTTGGGAAAATTCCTTTATCCTCCTGGGTTTCAATTTCATTGTCTACAAAGAAGGATATTTATATCCAAATCACAGATTGCTGTTAGAGTATCTACTTTTTCTTACGGAAGATTCACATGTACCTGCTAGAAAAGGACTCACTTTACAGATCATTCCATAGGTTATTAATACACCATAACTAGTCGGTGCAGCCTGACTACTTTTATGTTTGTTCAGTCATTCAACATACATTTACTAAGTTAATACCATATGTCTAACAATCTTCAGAACTCTGGAATTCCATAGTGCGCAAGTCACAGTCCTGACTTTAAAAGAGCTAGCCGTCCAGAAAGCAGATGAACAAGTAAATGACAGTCGTTGGTGGTGACCAGCAAGTGTTTGATACTTTATAAAAATACCATTTCATTAGGGCAGCTAAGCCAAAGTTGTTATCTCTTGTCACATGGAAAAGAAGGAATCTATGTGAGATAAATACACATATATACATATATATATATTGCTAGATAAATTACATATACATATATACACATATATAATATACATATATACATATATAGTGCTAGATAAATCACATATACATATATATACGCATATGTGTATATATATATATATATATTGCTATATATATATAATATACGTATATATACATATATACATATATAGTGCTAGATAAATCACATATACATATATATATATATATATATATATATATATGTATATGTGATTTATATATATATGTATATGTGATTTATCTAGCACTATATATGTATATATGTATATATACGTATATTATATATATATAGCAATATATATATATATATATATATATAGATAGATAGATAGGTAAATCACAAGTGACCAATAAATGTGAGCTCCCTTCTGCAGAGATGTATATTAAAATTGTACTCATCTATGACATTTTCCCATGTCTTTCCTAAACACAAGCTTTGCCTGGTTATTTTAGTCTCTTTCTATTTCATATGAAACGAGAGCCTCCTGATAAACTTTGTGTTATCCAGAGTTGTTTCAGTGCACTGGTTCATCTATCTCTGGTTTTCTTTTATCTAGGGCTGGAGTTTCTCTAAGTGCTTTTTCCTGATGAAAAGGCCAGGAGGTGACTGTGGGAATATGTGCAAGAAATGCTGACTTCTGGCTTCTGTGTGAAGACAGCGTTTGACTCCTTTCCAAAACAATCCAATCTGTGGAGAGCATCAGAGGTGAGTAGGCTGCTCTGTTGTGCTTAAAGTATTTCTGGCAATCTTTTTGGGAAAAAGAAAACATTTCTTCTCTGAAACTCAAATCTCCATAGAATGGAGCCTTTCATATATTGTTTACATGGTAATGTGTCTGCTGTTAAGTTATCTCTACTCAGAGTTCACAAGGAGAATGATGTGCTTTTTAATAGTTGCTTTTAGCTTCCAGGTCCTGATCAAAGGCAGGACAGTTTAAATCACTATATCTTACTGTATCTAAAATTCATTTTATATCTTACTGGACATGTTTATTTATTGTTACAAATGACAATTTTACTATTTCTTGATGTTTTAAGATTCTTTCACATCAGAGAAATGTCTTGATAAAATCTTTACTGTTTTCACAGAATGGCTTATAATATTTTTGTTACTGTGAGCTATTCTTTTTTGAGAAGTATTTTTTCCCTGCCAGTCATAGTACTATAGGTTGTAGAAGGGTCTCCTTTAGGAAGTTATTTTTTGTTTTCCAAAGAGTCCAGATTTTTTTAACAATTCCCCAAACAACGTTTGAACAGCTTTGTTAAGGTATTTTTTTCTTAAAAAATCATATGGGGCTGGGGATGTGGCTCAAGCAGTAGCGTGCTCGCCTGGCATGCAAAGGGCGCTGGGTTCGATCCTCATCACCACATAAAAATAAAATATTTCAGTTGTGTCCACTGAAAACTAAAAAATAAATATTAAAAAATAATTAGCATGTTCATTATCCAAAAGAGTTTTTTGTACTACTTTATCATCTCTTTCTCTTAATCACACTTAACCCTCAAATTCCTAAGCAACCACTGATCAATTCTGCTACTACAGATTAGTTTGCATTTCCCTTATCCTTGGATAAATAGGATCACAGATAATGAGCTCTTTTCTGATTTACTTCTTTTATTGACCTATAGTTTTAGATTCATCTATGCTATTTTTCTTACCAACATTTGATTTCTTTTTATTGTTGAGTAGTATGACATTTAAAGAATGTACTACAGTTTACAAGCTGTTCATAGATAATCAGAATTGTTTCCAGTTTGGGGCTAACCAGTGAGGCTTCTTGATCATTCTTGTATAAGACTTTGTATGGGAATACACTTTCATTTTCTTGGGAAAACACTTACAGATAGAATCATAAAATAATATGAAAGGCACATATTTAAATTTTTAAATTTTGCTTTTTTTTTTTTTTCTGGATACTGGGGATTGAACTCAGGGAAACTTACCCACTGAGCCACATCCCAGCGCTATTTTGTATTTTATTTAGAGACAGGTTTCACTGAGTTGCTTAGTGTCTTGCTTTTGCTGAGGCTGGCTTTGAACTTGTGATCCTCCTGCCTTGGCCTGCCAAGCCACTAGGATAACAAGCATGTGCCACCGTGCCCAGCTAAGTTTTGCATTCTTAAGACAGTGTATGAGGGTTCTAGTTTATCCACTTACTTGTCAGCACTTGATGTAAACAGCCTTCTTAATTTCAGCCATTCTAAACAAGTGTATGGTAGTGTCTTACTATGATTTTAATTTATATTCCCTAATGACTACCTGCAAGTATGGGGAGCACCCTAAGACTATGGCTCTGGGACTAATTTCATGAAAATTTATACTCAGTCTCCAGAAATTCATCAAGTTTACCATCTGTTTCTTCCAAAGTCTATGGCTCCAGGTAAGCAGATTTGGGCTTTTGTATCTCTCTGGATGTGCCTGACTCTCCTGATTTGGGGGTGGCAGCTTGTCTTGAAACTGTAATTCTCTGATAGGTCCAAGAACAATCAATCTTTGATTTTCTGTTCATCCGTTTTTTCTCATTGTGAGGATGGAAATTATGATTTCTAAGCTTACTACAAGTCAGAGCTGAAGCTGTATGTCCCTAAAAAGGTTTTAAACTAAATATTTAACCACAATTTATTCAGTATATTTGGGCTACCCTGGTTATCTTTGTTTCTTTTGTGAGCTTTGAAAGTTCACATTTTCAAGGAATTTGTCCATTTTATTTGTCATTATGTATCCATAAAAAGTTTTTAATATCTGTAAAATTTGTAATCATGTCACCTATCTCATCTCATTTCTGATATTAACAATTTGTCTTCTCTATTTCCTTATTACTCTGTCTACAGGTCTATCAATTTATCAGTATTTTAATAAGTTCTAAAATAATCAGCATTTACTTTCATTGACTTTTCTCTATTTGGCTTATGTTTTCTTTATTAGTGATTCCATTTTAATATTTATCATTTTCTTTATTTTGTTTAATTGAGATTTTGTTTAATTTTTTTAATCTGGCTTCTTAATAAGATGAAAGCTAAGACTATTGATTTGAAAATTTTTCTTTTCTAATAAAATTGTTTAGTGCTACAAATTTCCCTCTATGTGATACATTAGCTGCATCCCACATATTTTGATATGCTGTTTTAATTTCCACTTAGATGAAAATATTTTCAATTTTTATTGCTGCTTAGGATTGGATTATTTTAAAGTGTGTTATTTAGTTAAATAGTGTGGTTCTTCCTCTATTATTGGTAACTTATTTAATACAGTTTTGCTCAAAGAACAAAGTATGAATTAACTCCCTTAAAATTTACTTCGATTTGATTTATGGTTTGAATGTGGTCAATTTTATTTTTTGTTTTGTTTTTGCATTTGATATGCCTGTTGTTTTATGGAACATTCTATAAAATGACATAGGTCAATGTGATCTATAATGTTGTTCAAATTCTTACATTTTAATTGAATTTTTGTTTATTGGCCTTATCCATTATTGAGAAAAGATGCTAAAGTTATCAAACTATCATTGTGTGTCAATTTCTTTCAGTTCTAACAGTTTTATTCATTTTAGAACTCTGTTACTATATACACAAATTTTTAAGAAACTGGTGCTCTTGATAAATTGATCTTTGGTAACATTCCAAAATGACTCTCTTTATATCTGGTTATATTCTTTCTGAAATCTAATATGTCTAAAATTAAAATATCCACACCAGCTTTCTTTTAATTAGGACTATTGTGGCACATATGTTATAGTGCCATGCTATTTTCTGCCAACTTGTCTCCTCATATTTAAACATTGTTGCAGGTTTCTTATGGGCAGCATATAATTATATGTCCAGCTTATCTGATCTATCAAACTCTACCTTTTGATTGGGAAGTTTAAGGCATTTATATTTAAAGTGATTTTTTTTTGTATATTTGAGTTCAAACAGAACATCTTGAAGATTGTGTTCTATGTGTTCTTTTATCACTTTTCTTTCTTTTTTTGTCTTTGGAATCAATTAAGCATTGTTCATTATTTCATTTTATCGATTTTTTGGCTTAATGCCTATACCATTTGTTATGCCATTTTAGTTGTTGCTTTATCATACACCTTTAATTTACTACACCTTATTTCCATGCAATAGCTTATCATTTGATTTAGAAGTGTTTTACACAGTTCTTTACAGAAGTTTCAACTTAGAGTTTGCCCTACTGCTTTCATGCATTCTACTCATGTGTATATTACAAATCCAAATATATTATTGTTTTATATTTGAATGCTTATTATCTTCATTAAAAATATTAAGAAAGGAAAGTCCCTATGTTTACCCAGGTTGCTATCAATTCTTTTTCATTTCTTTTTTTTTTTTTTTTTTGGTATAGATTCAAGTTTCCATCTGATAAAATTTACTTCTAGTTGAAGGAGTTCTCTTCGTAAGTCTTGCACTGTAGATATCTGCATGAATAACTGTTGTAACTTTTATATGTCTAAAAAAAAAAGTCTGTAACCTCTTTTTTGAGAAATATTTTGATGGGCATGAAATTCTAAGTTGACATTTTATCTTTCATACTCTAAAGATACTGTTTCTCTTTTTGCTTCTACCGCTTCTCATAAGAAATCTACTGTCATCTCTATCTTTATTCTTCTGAAGATAATGCATATATTTTTCTGAGTGGTTTTGTGGGTTTTTTCATTACTAGTTTTAAGCGCTTTGATTATGATGGGCCTTTGGGGTTCACTAACTCTCCTTCATCAAATTTGGAAATTTTTCATCTATTTTTAAGTTCTCCTTCTTTACCCTCTCCTTAGGAGACTCTAATTAATTCATACATTTAGATTCTTGGATTTTCTCAAAGTTCACAATGATCTTCTCTGAAAATATTTTTTCTCTATATGTTTTATATGGATGATTTCTAATTGCAATATCTTTACATTCACTAATCTTTTGTGCCATACCATCTAATCTTCTGTTAATACTTCTCTGTGTTTTTGATCTCAGAAATTGTCATTTCATGCCTTAAAGTTTTATTTGCTCAATCTTTCCTTCATCTTTTTCAGCAAATAGAATATGGTCATTGTCAATCTTTTAATGTTCTTTTTATTAAATGTAATATCTGTGTCATTTTTCAGTTCATTTACATTGATTAAGTTTCTCCTCGGGATGGATTCCTGCATGCTTGGTAATTTTACTTGAATCTCAAGCACTGTAATTTATCCCTTGTAGGGTACTGGAGAGCTTTGTATTCCTATAAATATTTTTGAGATTCATTTTGGGACATATAAATTATTTGTAAACTGTTCAATCCTTTGGTGCCTAACTTATAAGTTTTCTCAGGTAGGAAGAGGATATTTAATCTAGGGTTGTTTGTCCACTAATGATGACCCATAAATGCTAGGTTTCTCACTCTGGCTTTTGGCAACGACCACTCTTCCCAATGATGTGTGAGCTCCATGCAATGTTCCCTATACTTCTTTAGGGTATTCTGCCCCCCCCCCCAACTTTGGGTAATTCCCTAAATCATCAGTAATTGACTATTTGAGGGAAAGTCTCTGATGATTTCTGGTTTTCTTTCTGTGCAGCTGTCTTTATTCTGCTTCTCTGCCCTTCAAAGTCCAGCTCCCTTATCCCCTCAGAACCTCCACAGCAGTCTCCTCTACTAAGCGGGCAGGCGCTCCTTTCCTGAGCCTTGTCCTGGGAATCTTTTTCTGTGTGAAAACCTTGGAGGATCATAGCATTTAAATAATTTCTTTCCCATTTCTAAGGATCAATATCCTTAATTTCCTAATGCCTGGTGTCTTGAGAACCTTTGTTTCATACATTTTGTGTTTTTATATATATAAGTTTTCAGGTAGGAGGATAAATCTAGTCCCACTTATTCCACCTTGACCGAATAAGGAGGCTTTCTTAGACTTGTGCGGTTACCTCACTTATTGCTCAGTTTGGTGTGCTTGCACCATGTGTAACTCAATTGAAACCCATACCTGTGCCTACCTCGAGCTCCAGGGGGTGACTGACTTCTTAGTGGTGACTTTTGTTGTTGTTGCTGAATTTTTAAGATTATTTCCTTTTTATTTTTATTTTTATCCTAAACTTAGGATTCATTTTGATATAATGATAAAAGCATGGAACATAATTTGTTCTAATTCAGTCCCCAGTACTTGCCCTTCCCCTCCCCTCCTGCCTCCCCCATTCTCTTCCCTCTACTCTACTGACCTTTCTGCTATTAACTTGTTTATTTTTTTAATGAGTGTCTTATGGATATACAGAATAATGGCATTCACTGTGGGATATTCCTATGTATATAGAAAAGTTAGGTCAGATTCATTCCATTGTTCTTTCCTTATCCCATCTCTTCTCCCTCCCCTTCAATCCCCTTTGTCTACTCCACTGATCTTTACTCTATTTTTTTATCCCCTCTGTCCCTAATTTGGATTACTGTCCTCATATCAGAGAAAACATCTGACTTTTGACTTTTGGGGACCAGTTTGTTTGACTTAACATAATAGTCTTCAGTTTCATCTCTTCACCGTCAAAAGTTATAATGTCATTCTTCTTTATGGTTGAGTAATATTCCATTGTGTGTGCGTGTGTGTATGTGTTATATGTAAAATTTTCTTTATCCAGTCATCTGTTGAAGGGCACCTAGGTTTGTTCCATAGCTTGAATATTGTGGATTTTGCTGCTATAAACATTGTTGTAGCTGTATCACTGTAGTATGCTGATTTTAAGTCCTTTGGATAAATAATGAGGAGTGGGATAACTGGGTCATAGTTCCATTCCAAATTTTTTCAGAAATCTCCAAACTGCTTTCCAGAGTAGTTGAACCAATTTGCAGTCCCACCAACAGTGTATGAGTGGACCTTTTTTGCTTAGGGATAACTTTTATTCGATTCCCATCAGATTACTGAACATTCAATAAAAACAAATTTATACTTCATCTTTCAATGAGGGTATGCAGAGCTACTCCCCAGTTTAGTTCTCAAACATGGAGAGATTATTTGATAATCCCTGAAAATGGATGGGGCTTTAGTTAGCTGTGCTAGAGAAATCACTAAGTTTTCAGGTGATCTTTACTAGTTTTTCAGCCCTGTCATAATACATATTATTTTTTACCTGCATGGAATATAACTTTAAATGATCCATTGCTTTGTTTTGTTTTGTTTCCTGCCTTTAACATTAACACGTACTAATTCCTTTCTGGAAAGCAACACATTATGCCTATTTTACAGTTTATTTTACTGGAGGAGTCACAGTACTTTATTTGAAAGTGACATGAAGACCTCTAAGGATTCATGCCATGTTTTTCAAAGATTATAAGAGAGATCTAAGGTGAGATACTTTCAGATAATTCCTTATTTCAATAATCATTATTATATTCCTGATTTCTTTATTATAAAAGTTATCACAATTTATA